CGGAATTAGAAGTGCAAAATTGGAAGTATAAAATATTGAAGAAGGTGGAGGTTTGCAAAGTTCTTCAGGTGAATCAAGGCGTAACAATCGAATAATGGTTTCCCTCTATTTATGGGAACATGAATATCCCGAGCGGGAAACCCAAGAGCCGCCAATCAAAAAATTGAGAGGACATGGGAAATGATACGATGCCTGGAAAACGTGCGCTATGATGATGTATAATGGGTATCCATGATATCTCGAATCGATGCAACAATTCAGCTCCAAACTGACATAACGGTCCGACGACATCACTGAAACGTCGCGCCACCACCTCAACTTAAAGACCTCGTTCAACGCATAACGTTCAGATTTCTCCTAACTTTTGAATCGACGGAATCCGCCTGTTGAGCTTGCTAAGAGGCGAGCCCGACGGGCGGAGGGACTAACTGTATGGGTCAAAATCTGACCATAGGATGGTGGTTCTTAAAAGGAATGACAAGGGGTTGATCAAGCCGTAATCACGCCTACGGGGCGTGATAACAAAGAACACCTCGGCCATAGCCGGGGTCAAACCGTCGGGAAGCTTAAATCGCAGAGCAAGCGTAGTGTCTGGGCGAGCAGTGAAGGATATAATCATAAGAAAGTACATCGGTCAAAGACCATTGGGTAAAGGGGAAGATTGTCAGTATATATAGAGGGGATAGAGCCCAGATGAAGGGGATCCTTCTTTCGAGAGTCATCACTATGGGATCACCAAGAGAAATTCTTGGACATCAACAACTCTTTCTTCTCTTCTTCTTCGCTTCTACGATTACGATGTCAACCTGTCACAAATGTAAGCCTAATATCCACATTTGATGTACAATGATTATCTTAAGAAATATTATGCGTTCTTATTCCTCTTCGATGTTGTACTCAATATGTTTGGATCTAGAGTTAATTGTGTTTGGCTAAGATTTACCTTCATATCTCTGATAATTAGTTTAACAAAAGGGTTCAACACTTTTTTGGTCAAACATAAATGCCTTGAAAATTCCACCAAGAATATCATAAATCATGCCTTAGAGTTCAAGTTACTTGATACTAGGACAATCATCTCTACTATTAAAAGGAAAATAATAGTTAAATGGAAAAATTCACCAAAATAATGGTTTAAGTTAAATATTGATGGTGCACTCAAGACTTCGGGTCTTGAAGGTGGAGTCTAATGAGAAATAGAAATACTACTAAATTAGAAATATAATTTAATAGTATTATATTATCTATATCTATCTATATCTATATTATTATAAAAGCATGAATACAATGTCGGTTTACAAAAATAACCTTATAATATTAAGAATAATAACTCATAATAAAAGGGCATAACCGGAATTCTAGATATTAGCCTTATAATCCTATTAGTTTTAAGATATAGTACTACACGTTAGGAATCCTACATGATTACCTTTAGGAATCCTATTAGTATAATTACTTTCTGTCCATACTTCTTAAACCAAATATATCACATAATTATTTTGAATATTCATGTAAGGATTGATATCTAATAATTGAAGGTGATATCACATAATTATTTTGAATATTCACGCAAATATTGATATCTAATAATTAAAGGTGCATTGAAGATCACGTACAATAGTAGAATACAAATTTGGATAAAAATAGAAGATCCAAAAGTATTTAACTAGCTTCCTAAAAGTCAATCAGATGTCTACTTCAAGGATTTAAACTCTAGTCCAAGGTAAAAATTGAGGTAAATTATTTAAATGACAAGACCATATCTTCAAAAATTTCTTCTTTTGGTTCAAAAAAATTGTTTAAAATTTAGAGAACATAAATAGAAAATAAATGTTATTTAAAAAAACAAATAATGGACTGAAGATTTTCAAACCGATTTAAAAAAAATATTTCTTCAAACTAAATTAGTTTTATTATAAAAGCGTTGTTTACGAAATAACCTTTTAATATTAAGCATAGTAACTCACAATAAAAGAATATAACCAGAATTCTAGACATTAGCCTTCTAATCCTATCAGTTTTAGGACATAATATATACTACACGTTAAGAATCCTACATGATTACATTTAGGAATCCTATTAGTATAATTATTTCGGGCATATATATATATATATATATATATATATATATATATGTATATATATATATGTTAACATGTAAACCTAATACCATTAGGAACACGTTAGATTTCTTATTAGTATAATTATTTTCGGGATATGGACATACTTTTAGCCATGTAATCCTATTACTTTTAGGATATACTTCTTAAAAATTCTTATTACTNAAAACCTTAAAGAAGAACAAAGAATTCAAATACCACCCTAAGTGTGCTAAAGTCAATTTAGTACACTTAGGTTTTGCTGGCGATTGCTACCTTTTTGGAAGGGTGATATACAATCAGTCAGGGAGTTGCATCAACAATTTAAAATATATTCTGAGGCATCAGGATTAACTGCAAACCCAAAACAAGAGCTGCATATACTTTGGAGGAGTAGATCTTAGTCGACTCAAAGGAAGATTATGGATAGTGACTGGGATACACAAGGGAGAGCTCCCTCAGATACTTGGGGGTACCTTTTGAGACACAAAGAAGATATACATTATCCAATGCGAGCCGTTTGATTGATAGGATGCTGAACATAATTCAATAGAGGACATCAAAATTTCTGTCCTATGCAGGGAGAGCTGTGCTTACAAAAAGTGTTTTGACTGCAATTCAAAAGTTCTGGGCTCAGATCTTTATTTTGCCAAAGAAGATTATTCAGTTCATTGATATAATATGTAGAAGGTTCCTATGGTCAGGGAATGTAGAGCCTAGGGGTGTTCATATAAACCCGAAAAACCGAACCAAACCGAAAACCAAACCAAATCGAATCTAAAAAAACCGATTACTTTTTTGTTTGGTTTGGTTTTGGTTTTGAATTTTAAAAATCGATCAAATTTGGTTTGGTTTTGGTTTTAATCAGAAAAAACCGAAAAAAACCGAACCAAACCGACTATAGGAGTAGCTATTTCAAATTTATTATTACACCTATATATATGTATATTTTTATACAAAGTTTCAAATTTTTTATGGTAAATGTTAAAAGTTTGCACTTTTAGTATAGTTTTTTACCTTTACATTCTAGTTTGATTGGTAGTTTTCTTTTGTTAAGTGTAAGAATCCATTTCGTGTTAAAAAATATATATTTTTAGTTGAGTCCTTAAATTATTCATCACTATTTGATTCAATTATCATCAATATATCTTGGTAAATAATAGATTTCTCAAAGGGCAATTGATTTGATAGTGTTACGTTGAAAATGTGGTCCCCGAAATATGTGTTTGGTAGTGTATGTCTTATATTTAAAAAAAACCGACAAATAACCGAAAAAACCGAAAAACCGACAAAACCCGACATAAGCCGAATCGAGAAAAAACTGACTTAATTGGTTTGGTTTGGTTCTAATATTTGTAAAACCGACTTACTTGGTTTGGTTTCTTTTTAGGGAAAAACCAATCCAAACCGAACCATGAACACCCCTAGTAGAGCCTACTAGGAAGACACTGATTGCTTGGGAAAAACTATGCTGCCCAAGAGTAGCAGGTGTTTTGGATTTTACTAATGCGGAACTATGGTGAGCTGCTATTTGGTTACTATGGAACATATGCAAGCAGAAGGAGAAGTTATGGATACAATGGGTTAATGCTTACTATATAAAAGGGAATACAATATGGAGTACAACACCTAACAATGCATCTTGTAAATTAATATTTAAACGATTGAGAGTATTTTAGTAAACTTATCGGTCACAGTACAATACGATACCATCAAACAAAACAACAAAATATTACTGTATTAACAACAACAAACAATATAATCTATCCAAACGTTATATTCATAAGTAGATACAATATAATATATTATAAAACGATAGATAACAACCATCCAAACAAGTTGTTAATTTTGTTGTTAGGCTAAGGACTATCGTATTTCCGAAATAAGAGTAGGGCTGCTTATCGGGCGGATTGGGCGGTTATTTACTCTTAACGGTTTGGCTTATCGGTTATCGGCTTTTAGATGTATTAATCTGCTAGCCACCCGATAAGATATCGGGCGGATTGGTATCGGTTTAGCTCTTATCGGGCGGTTATCCAGCGGTTTATCGGCCTAATTCAATCTATATTACACATGACGCAATTTACCAAATTTAGCGAGGGTCCAAAATTTGCTTTGTCGTGCTTCAAATGCATGCTGATGTTGGTCAAAGAATGAGATTTCTTACTCTTGTTTTATAACTGCTCCAATTTTCTTTAGACGTCGCTCTAATTTCTAAACAATCCAAGAACACCTGCCGAAATGTGTGCGGACTGACGTTTTTTTTACATGCAAGCAAACCTGCAGATGTATGTGTTAAACCCAATTTAACAGCAAATTCTACTCGTTAAACTATCTCTTGTTTGTTAAGTTTTGGTACTTCCACTGCACCTACTGGAGGTGGTATGAACACGTGAAGCAATCAAGTAAATTGTTTTTGGTTTGATAGGATTGAAAAGAATGCACGAAGCAAACAATTAAAATTTGTGTAGTAGTAAATTAGTAATAGAGAATAGAGATAGAGTACTGGAAGTGGAAGAAAGGTTTTTGATTATTTAAAATATATATGGATAAAAATAAATTTTATATATATATTCTTAACGGGTTAACGGATTATCCGTTAAGAAAATTGAATAATCCGCCCCCAAACCGATAAGCCATTAATAAAAAAACTTCAATCTGTTCCCTGTCTGCTAAACCGTTAACCCGATACTAATAAGCCATTAAACTTTGCTTTCAGTTTGGTTTTCGGTTTCGGTTCGGTTTTGAACACCACTAATAATAAGTGAAGGTGCCCATGGACGACGAAGGGTAGTTCAGTAATACGATCATTTCTTAGGGGCATTTCAAAATTGCAGCTCTTCTATTTTCTCTCTTGGTGACATGTGTCTCAGTATTTAAGTGTCTGATACAACTGGCTTCCACACACTTTCATATCACTGAGACTACATATCTCAAGTCAAGACCCTCTTCTTCCATGCCTCAACTTCTCTCTATCGTAACAATAGAGGCTAAAAGCAATAGATTTGAGTGAAGCTTTGGGTCTTTATCGTCGTCGGCGACAAACGGTGGAGTATTGAAGCTTGGTACGACCATCTTTGCTCATTCTTTTTCTATTATTATTATCTCATTCTAATTTTACTATATTCTTTTTTCATTCTCAATCTAGATCCACATATTATTCTCCATCAAATGGATACTGAATGCAGCCAAAAATCTTTCTTTTGCTTTCTGCTTCCATTACTCTTGCAAGCATCATGGATTCTATAAAAAAATTCCTATTGTTGTTCTATTTTCTTGGGGTCGATTTTGGAATAATGCTAATTTTATGTGATATTAATAGATTAGCTCTCAGTTGGTTGAATTTTTTTAATTCTTTTTCAGCTTCGATCAAAAAATTTGGGTTTTTGTTTTTGGTTGTTTCTGGGTGAATGAATGCTAATTTTATCTCCTTAAAAGTTTTTGTATTTTGCATGTTTTAGATTGTCATAGATTAGCTCTCAATTGGATTTGTCGTGAAGTTTAATGTTATTTCAACTACGTATTTCAGCTGAGATCATTTTGTATGCATGTGTTGTTTAGTTACTATGTTTTGTTAGTTTCATTTTAGAAATTAACTTATTCCTGTAAGCATAAACCAATAATATAAATAGCAGAACTTCCTAAAGTTTTAATAAACTACCCTCTTTCAAATGTATATTTCAGTGTCTTCTTACATGTGCGTGTCTTTCTTAGTTGAAAATTGATGTTGCATTAACTTAATATTTGAAAATTAACTGAAGGAAATAAAGTAACCTTTCTTTTACCTTTTTGAAAATTTATAATGTGCAATAGCAGCTATTTATCCACCCTGCTTCTTGTGTAGCTTCTATACTCATTGTCTTTTTAGTTGCAGAATAAGCTTGATCCTAATTAAAGTTGACAAGTGAAGAAGCATCTGAAAGAAAGTAAGATACTTATTGAGTAAGTTTTGGATTTAAATATATTTATATTTTATTTACTGAGATACTAGAAAAGCATTTATTAAAGTTCAACGAAGAATATCCTGTCATTCTTGCAAGACATATTGGGGGTTCAACTATAATCGTAAGCTAAAATAAACAATAGTCCATCTTATACAAAGTTGCAACGTAATCTCTTGTACTTAATTAATGTAGGTACATCATTTACTACAAGGTTCAAAACGTCAATACAGATTGACCGATCTTATCCACAATGTCTGCAACTACTCCCTGCTCCTACATATATTGTGTTTGTTTCTTTCTTATTATTAATCTTCAAAAGTTTTGTGTTTTCTATCATGGACAGGATCATGGAAGACCGAAAAATGCTTGTCTCTTTCACCATGAGTAGTGTATGGCTCAAAAATTAGATCAGAGAAATTCGGCACGCGGAGACATAAGGTCGTCGTCAGACAAGCCAAGGTCGGACCGTCATCAACAACCAAGGTCGGACCGCCATCAATAGCCAAGGTCGGACCGTCATCAATAACCAAGGTCGGACCGTCATCAAGAGAGTAACACATCACCTTTGAATTATATTTCTTGTTTCAAATTACATAGTGGTGACTCTATAAGTTTTAAATTCTCAAACTTGCATTTTTTGGGGGGCAGTGTCAAACTTGGATTTACCAGATCAAATATCATTCCTTGTATAATAATACACCAGTCAACTTAGTATTGAAACGAAACAGAGTCCAAATGGAGCAAAAATATGGGCAGCCCAACTAGTATGGGATCATAGCATAGTAGTATAGTTGTTGCTGTTGAATAGCAATACACCATAAACACCAAAACCCTAGAGAGTCCACTACAGAAGGTTAGGTTCGAAACACCTTGAAACAAAAAAGGCACAAGCTTAGACAAACTATTTAAGTCCAAAAACCATCTAATACTAACAACTGTAATCAATTCAGAAAACAAAAACAAACAAAAAAATAGAAAAAGGAGGGACCTTTTCACGATCGACTGGTTGGAGGCGGGGAGCAAGCCTAGAGGAAGGTGGACCAAGCGGGCCTCTCGGTGGTGGAGGAGGTAATGGTCTTCCCCTTCTCTGAACATCCGCCATTGCTACTCAACACAACAGGGTTTAAGCAAGTTCTTTTTTCGCTTTGCTCTTTTACTCTTGGGCCTTTTCATATAAACCCTTGTTGGGTGGAAATTTGAGTATAAATTCATTTGACCCGCACAATTCGTTCAAGCTTGAGCGGTCCTTGGACCCACCTATTTATTGAAGGAACTTTTTCATTCCTATACAATATTAGAAACTTTATTACCTTTAATGTTCATGTTAAGCAACTAACGCATTATTATCTTTGGGGAAGGCCGTGAAATTCGCTAAACGACTCGTCCCGAATTCTAAGTATTTTGTATAAACATTTACCGAGGGCTCCGCAATTTGCTTATTTGTTTAGCGAGGCTCATCTCGTTTTATTGTTAAAGGGCAAACCTCAAGGAACTATGATTTTCTTATCTTTTGTTTATCTTTAATACTAAAGAAAATTCATAATCATTTAATATTACCTAGCAGTTATTGCGCTTGCGTCCGGGGCTCATATATATTCAAGTCTTAAATTATTTTGGGCTTGAATGCAGCCTGCATGCAGGGCCATAAGAAGGGAAGGTCTGCAGTTTATTTGGGCCCAAGTCTTTGGCCACCTGTTAAAATGCCAAAACCAAGTGGCCTGAAGACAGGCCAAGGGCAGAAACCAACGGACTAGGGCCAAGGGATCCAAATGTTGTTAACAATTTTAACAAAAGAAGACGATACACAGATATTCAAACTAATGAGATGTTGATCATTTGAATTTTCGATTTCATGCTCAAATTATTTCATGTACTCGTCGTCTAATGAGTTCTCAGATAGAGCTAAAATGAAAACAAACCAGTTGGAGACGTGATACTATTAATACAAGGCATGCCAACTACTTTGATTTAATTCAAGCTCGCATTACTAACTCAACACTCAAGTGATTCATGATTTCAAAAATGAACTACTGCAATCAATGTGGAGACTCAACATGAACAGGGCCTATGCGTTAATTCTCAGCTCACTTGCTAACGTGTTAATACACCTAAGGATCACAGACTTCGGAATCATTTCCTGTTTCAACTATCTCTCTACTTCAGTAGCTAGCTTACACAGTAATACAACTATACTATGTCAAGGTGAATGAATGAATATCAGTCCATCAATCCAAATTTAATTACAAAACTCAATTAAGAAAACAATAATTGAATAAACTAAACTATGACTAAACACGGAAAATAAGACAGGTTCAGCAGGGGAAGAACATGGGATTCCATTCCAACGTCTGAAAATTACAACACCAAGGTTCAAAATATGTACCTGGAAAATAGAAGGTGAGACAAGTGATGATCAGCAGCAATGAGCAGGCAGTCAAAACAGTAGATCGAAATTGAGATCACAACTCAATGTATAACATCAAATCACTCCAGGATTGAATTTTGAAAATACAGACTACAGCATTCAACATTCAGTCCAGCAAACATGAATAAACTCAACCAATGAGCAATTGAACCCAGGACTCAAATACAAACAACCAGCTGAACCACTAGCTAACTCAGACCAGTCAAATTCGAACTCGATTGATTCCAAACACAGCCAGATTCCAGGTACAAAACAGCAATAAAGGAGTGCAAGTTGTTTCTGAACCTAGATGAGCTAAAGAGCTGAATTCATGGCTCAAAATCACTCGAAGTGAACCCCTGAACTTTCACAACCCATAGGTTCCACTCGAAAGTAAACAATTCATGGAGATTAATTATCAGAACTCACAATACTCGATGTAACAATGATTTTTGGTATTTTTCGAAGAGTTCTGTTGTGTTTTGTTTTTCTGTAGAAAGCTTACGACTCTAAAAGAAAATTTCAAATTCTAGATCTCCTTTTTATCTGAAACTAGAGAGTATTTTGGGAGGGAAATTTTAGGCTGCCAAAAACTTCTTCAACAAGGCAGTATCTGCTGCCTTTTATAGGCAAAAGTGAGGGCAGCCCTCAGATTTTCAGTTTTCTTTTTAGTCCCCTTTTATTTTCAGATTAGTCCTTTATTTATTGAATTGTTTCTCAAGTTATCTCACTTATATTCTGAAATTTACCTTAAAATCCAAATCTAGAAGCTTCTAGGAAGTTCTTACTAGATTCCCTACCCTTGAATTGCCTATCTTACCCTTATTTTGGTTCTAAAATTACTAATCTTTAACAAACCAACCCATTTTGTATGCCTAAACCACCCTTGATTGCTTTCAAAATTACTAACCCAACCAAACTCCTTCACCTTAGTTACAAAACCAACTATGGTTAACTAAAGAGTGATTTATTCAGCTATATCCAATCAACCTAACTTAAAAAAAAAAGGAACTAATCAATACTGATTAACCTAAATGCTTTAGTTAACACTAACATTGAATTAACAATTAACAAACTAAAGTAACTAACAATTAACAATCAACATAAACACTGAACAAGATAACACACGAACTAATAACAAATAAACACTGAAATCAAAATCATGAACTGAAATCATGAACACGAATTGAAACAAATAAAAATTGAAACTAAAGTATAACAAAATTACGAACTGAAACTAAACTAAATCAAAATTAATTCCAATAAAACAAAATAAACAAAAACTGAACTAAACAATAGGAACAGATATAGAACCAAAAAGAACAGAATCAATTTGAAAAGGAACTTACTAATCTTAGTCTTTGATTAGACTGACTCTGAGTTGGTCCGAGTTTTGGGATTCAAAGTTTTTGAGGAACCAACAGAGTGCTCGAAATTCCCAAGACGGGTTGAAATTCGAAAACCCTAGATCTAAAATGGAAGAGATTTCGCTGAGATTTGAAAGGTTTTGGTTTGAGATTAGAGATGAGGAGGGTTAGGAGAGTACGGGGTATGAAGTTGGTTAGATTTGGATGAGTTTGCATTTTGGCCGAAAATTTAATCCAAGATTCGAGAAGATTGGTTATGATTTGAGGGATATGGTTTTGGGGGTTGGAAAGAGGAAGAGAAGGAGAGTTTGTGGTGAAATTTTGAGGTCGTTTGGTGGTCGGCCACCGCCGTGAGGCAATTTTCGGTGGCGGTCCGGGGCGGTAGACGACGGGGGACGGGGGTGATCTCTGAAGGGTGAATGAGAGAGGTGAAAGGGGGGGGGGGTTATGGGATTCAGACAATTTTATACCAAATGATACCCACTTCCCAACCGTTGGATCAAGAGACCTCGACGGCTGAGATGGGTCTTCAATGAAACGACGTCGTTTTAGGTGGTAAGGGGATTGGACCAGGTTGGACGGGTATGGGCTGGGTTTGGGGAAGAGTTCGTTTGGAATGGGTGTTTAAAACCAAAATTTGGCCCAATTTAAACCTTCTCTCTTTTTAATTCCTTTTCTCTTAATTTTTTAAAAATTGTTTTTTCTTTCTTTTATTTATTTTTCTGATTTTTTGAAATGCTAAATCAAAACTCAAAAACCAAATTGACACACTAAAAAAATTATATTTTCTACTTTCCAAGTACCCTAATTTCTAATTAAACACAAATTAAGACAAATTAAAACTAAAAAATGCAAAAGACCATTTTTTTTGTTTTCTTTATTTTATCCCTTAACTACTAATTAATCCTAAAATATGAAATTAAATCCTAAACAAATGTCAATTGTATTTTTATATTTTTCATATGAATTAAAATGCACAAATAAAATGCAAACAATTAACATAAAATGTCACAAAATTGCAAAATAATGAAAGAAATCATTTTGTTTGAATTTTTGGGAATAATTCATATAGGGCAAAAATCACGTGCTCACAGCTGCCCCTTTTTGCTCGGGAACACGAAGAGTTCTCGGGCAAAGATAAGTGAGCGGATACGAGCGATTTTTGCCCGTTTGAATATTCCGTGTGAAGCATTTTTGAAAACCGTCTGACCGAACCCTGCTTCAAAGGTTGCCTACATATCCTTGGCTAAAAAGGAATCAGGTCAGTGTAGTTCGGGAAGGTTTGGTAGCTGGGACTACCAGGAGCTGTGATTTCACTGCTGTTGCTGCTGCTACTGCTCGCTGACCTCCTTATAACACCGTGTCAAAATAAAAAGAAGCTAGCCTAAGTTGTGATATATGAATTACAAAAGATCCTATCTATGTCTTCAAACTCGCTCTTGTGTTGCCTTGAACTTGTATTCTTCCGATGGAATCCTTGTTGTTGCCTTGAATTGTGATTAGAGATGTTTTGCCATTCCTCCGAGTGATGCTTGACTGCTGAAATTTGACATATGTGCCTCTATTCTCCAGGCGGGCTCCTGATTGCTGACACTTGAAAAGTATTCCCTTGTTCTCCAGGTGGGCTCCTGACTCTGTTCTCCAAGCGGGCTCCTGACTGCTGAAACTTGAAATGTATGCCTCTGTTCTCCAGGCGGGCTCCTGACTACTGAAACTTGACATGTATGCCTCTGTTCTCTAGGCGATCTCCTGACTTCTGAAACTTGAAAAGTATTCCCTTGTTCTCCAGGTGGGCTCCTGACTGCAACAAAATAAACAAAGAAAATTTTCTGCCCCAGTTTGGTGGCTGGGCACGGCATGTTATCAAATATTAAAAATAAAGCTAAAATTTGAATTGTACTTCCCTTGTTCTCCAGGTGGGCGCCTGATTGCTGAAGCTTGAAAAGTATTCCCTTGTTCTCCAGGTGGGCTCCTGATTGCTGAACTTGAAAAGTATTCCCTTGTTCCAGGTGGGCTCCTGACTGCAACAAATAAAGAAAACAAAGAACATTTCCTGCCCCAGTTTGATGACTGGGTACAGACGTGAGTGTTAAATTGAATTATTCTACCAAGAATGTGAAAGCTAAGTCCTATTATCCAGTAAGGTCCTGATAACTCCTAACACATACGAACCTAAGCTATATCTTCTAAAGGTATT